CACAAATATACTCCTTGGTCTAAAGTAAAGGGTGCAGGTCGAAAATCATTTGGTATACCTAGACCGGTGTAGTGCTACTATGCATTGTGCTGGGGGCTTAATTTGTTTTTGTCCATATAAACGATGTGCTTCGATTGGGTAAGTGTGGGTACTATCGAACCTACACTTAGGCAGGTCAACTGTTACATCCCGCACCTTTCATGAAAGATATCGGTCTGCTCTCACGTTACACCATAGAATCCGTGCATAACACGAATAAGCTTTATAAAACGGACTTTGAATGCTTTGGGTGCTTTGGGCGCAGGTTCTGCAGTTGCCTTTGTCTCAACCATACGACCAGCGCTAGACTACGGCTCATTTGCATACTGCGCTAACACTCGGGGGCTAGGTAGAAAGGATTGAGCGTGTAAAGTATGTGGCCACCAGGCTCATCCACAGATTAGAAAGTGTACCGTACGAATACTTGTTGATCTCCAGATACTACATCTTGGTGATAAACCCATATCGAGGCAGCTACTGCACATGCGAACAATAAGCATCAAACGAGGACACTGGTACCAGCTTGTAGTACCGGATTGGAAGAGGGTCACCCACCTACTTGCATATTTGGGACCACCTCCCACCGCACGTAGTCGAGGCAAACTCTGTGTTGGAATGCAAGAACTTCCTGGACAAACACTTCACAAACCTGCTATCCAACCTAACAGGTCATTGTAGCTGGGGGATTTCAGATGTAGCCACAAGAAATAGCTATTCTTGCTGATTCTATCCAGTAGTGAGTATCCAAGGTAACGTTACGGGATGGTTCTGTACACAAATTACGTCAAACTTTGCAGCGTGTGATTACCTGTCGCCAACTACTTCATCCAGTGAGACCTCCACTTATCGATTAGACATCCGAAAGCAGTTGAAGTATTGAAAAACGCTTCAAACAAAGGTAGAAAATAAGCGCGGTCTCCAGCAGCCCAATTGAATATGCTTGCAACTTATATTTTAAAATGTACATGTGCAATCTTTCTCATTGTCACTGTGTGAACAGCCGGACGATTTCTCTTCATTACTCTGCGGCATGCTATATAAAGGCCAAATGTTTAAACTAATGTTTCATGCGAGGGTATTCTGAAACTATGGAAGCAACGGGACTGCAACTTTTCCTGTCCCTACAATCGCCTCATTAGAACTTAAGTTGCTTCTGAGCGAACAGTACATTTATTGTCATCAGCAGCTTTATTTCTACAGCACCAAACAAGCAACTTTGTCAGAATGGTCAACAGATGCTCGCAAAACTGCCCAAATTAAACCTATCTATAAAAGATCAGTTTATACCGCACAATTGTGTCCCTTTAAAACGCATCTTTATTCATTAATTGTACATCAATGACGCTGCTTTGTATTAAGTACATCCAGCAAATGTCCTCATCACAAAGTGCTTTATTCCGGACAAGAAGTAGTTTCCAGCTGAAGTACGAACATTTTGAGACGCGGTATATGTCATCAATAACTTCAAAGATTGCATAGCCTTGGTGGTATGCGAGTACCAATTCTATAAATTGTATCTATACTAACATATTTTGCTGTGGATAAAAGTGTCCAGTGATTCAAAATGAGTTCATATTATCTAGACAAGTGCGTACAGGGAAAGCATGAGGTCACATCAGTGATTCATGTGCACTGTTGTAATCGTTCCGGACAAAATACCAGATTCATGGAACAGAGAGAAGCAAAGCGAAAAGATGAATACAATGGTGATTAGTTTCTCCACCGAAAATATAATCTGATTAAATTTCGAAAGCAGTACTACCATCTGAACAGTACGAAAGGTTTTGTAATGCGTCGGTTTGAACGGTGGCTCACCACAGCAGTGGAAATCGACCCTGAGTGCCAGTCGCCTTTCTTGGGTCGACTTACGAGTAGGTGATATGTTAATTCGAACAATCAGCAACATGCAAACTTCGAGTTTCGTAATGTCCATGAACCGGTCGAGCAACTAATCGTGGCAACTGAAAACGGTTTTGTATATGGTGTACTGATTAGTTGACAAAATTTGCACTTCCAGGCTACCGGCTCAGAATGAAACCGAGGTCACGAGAACATAAACCATGGTAAACATCTGGACCTCAACCAGCGCATTAATATTGTCAAACCGGCAAGGTATGCCGCGGTGTAAACGTCAAAATCGGGGTGAAAGCAGGCTCCTCCACTTCTCGCAAAAGAATTCCAGACACGGCCTACCAAGCTAGATGCTCATAATTTCATACCCTCATATACAAGCCTGAGATGCCGCAATGACCTCAATAACGGACCGGAAATGGTTATCAGTGCATGCCGACAAAGTTGCGCTAAACATGAGCCATGACGATGGGTCTTGTGCACCCATCAGCTTTACCGCAAACCGCCGTCACCAAGGCGCTCTGGTAACCCTGCCACCGTTTGATGCAAAGTGGAATAGGATCAATCTTGAGGATGTGAACGACAGAATGTTGAAGCCTGAAGGATGAGAAAGTGTATTGATCCAGACAACGGGATGGAAAGAATAACTGGGCAATGGTCACTGGTATATTGATGATAAAAAGTCATAGCCTACTATGTACCGCTTTATGTTCAATCAAGGTAATAAATAGTGAAAAATAACTACCAGATGTGAACAGCCAGAAACAATAACTCGTCGATAAAATTTTGTTGTTTCTGCATTATTTGCAAATGCTTTTATAGGCAGAAATTCGCCACATCTTGACGCAGTCAGACAGGCATCACACACCAGGAAAAGCATTGTACGCGCGTTTCATCCTTTCAGGAATTCTCAGCAGTGCGCATTCAATCGGACCCTGGCGGGGCTCGAACCCGCAACTCGATTGTTTCCAGTCTGTGGTTAAGACCAATGAACTACGGGGGACGGCAACGACTACTGTGAATATGTTCCTAGATGTTATGTAGCTCCACCAGGGTCCGATGGAATGCGCACTGCCGCTGATTCCCGAAAGGATGAAACGCGCGTATAATGTTTTTCCGGGTGTGTGATGGCTGTCTGAGTGAGTCTAGATGTGACGAATTTCTACCCATCCTATTCAACTCCTCCTACTAATCCTCTGTAAATTCTTTTATGCCAGTTGCAATGTGGGCGTCAGCGTCTTTCCCCAGAACGGGTGTGGGTCGATGCGGCCTGGTTTTCTGAATGTGAGTATGGGTCATCTGTGTTGTATGGAATGACATAGTGCGGCCAACACATTGTCGACAAAATGCTTGAAAATAGTGAATATGGGGGCTGAAATAACAGCATTTTAGAGGGAACTCCATGTGTGGCGTAAGGAATTTTTTCTACATTCTAGTCAGCTGTCTTCATTCATTCATTAGGATGTAGAAAGCAGAAGAGCTCCGTAAGCCTTGCCACTTCCCATTCATCCAGTGTTGACGCGTGTGGCTGTAAAACGGCACTCCTCTGGGGATGGTAACCATCGTCGTAAGAGCAGCGGCAGAACCCTGCCGTACACATTATCTGGTAATCAGGCAGCCTTTTAAAACTTTCCTCCAACTGTTCATCTGTGGTAGCCTGTTCTAACCATTCACCACACGAATAGGCAGGAGTATATCGCAGTGGATGTGTAGTATTCATCGCTTTTACAGCCTACACTTGTAGTCCCGTATCGAGCTGTCCACGTTAAGTCAAAAGTGTTATCGTAGGTCAGCTGCAAGTTCTCCCCTTAGAATTCGTCTGGTGTGCATGATCTCTCGACGAAGATAATATGCCATAGGGAACAAATTCAGCTTCTGATTTCGAAGTGGGACAATAAGAACTCGAAGTCCAATGACAGAATTCAAACCCCCCCGTTCTGAACCTTTTCTAACAAGGCGCACTGAAGTTTAGCAAGAGGATAAATGCCCGGAAGTCCATACTCTACTACAGGGAGAGCTTTTAAAGCGAATGCGGTTCTTGAAATCTACGAAGTGATGAACATATCTACAATCACGACCTCTACATCTGTTAACCAGCAGAGCTCTCACGTTTCCTTTAGTAAGAAAAGATCTTGATCTGCTGAGCTATCATGACATAGAAATAAAAATAATATGCTGAATATTTTCTGCACAGTTGAGTACATGCACGGGGAAATACTTGGAAGATAGCAGCTTGTTGCATTTGGTGGGAAAAGCTAGTGAATTTGCGCCAATCAAAGTGGGCTCAGTGATTAAGCTTTTCTATATAGTTCGTCATGAGGCACTTGGACAACAAAGTCAAAGTCGACAATACGCTTTACATACCCGACTGAGCACATTTGTGATACGGTAACAACAAAATTACAGCCAACTCTGCACATGCTGTTTGCTAGTTAACAGCAGTCATGTCAGTGGCTAAGGGTTTTAGTGACTCGATTTGTGAACAATCTCAGTGAAACGGCTGAGTGCTCCACGGTATTAGTCTTTCAGCGAAATTGTCCGGTTGACGTAATTCTACGTAATTCTGAATGCAGCCTTCCGTGAATTTCACGCCACTTACACAGCGTGTCCAAAACCATTTTGCGATTGCACTATGAGTTTCCGTATTCTCGGGAAAGATCGTGGGTTGAAGGGCTCTGTACTGGCTAAAGAAGCAACTAAATCTGCAATAGCATATCATATTATATAGTGGTCTGAAACATATCAAATAATTGAACTTGATTTGGTGTTACATGGGCAGAGTCACTGTCACTTTTCAAGATAGGTGAAATGTAAAAGTTGGTGTTTTCACTTGAGCCCGCTGTTTCGAGGATCTAAGTACAAATAAACAGGGGGTCTCACAGCGGAATATACGACTTAGTATACACATTCTCAAAGAATCATCGGTTTCGCCAACCAGAACACCACATTCATCCCACCTGTGATGACTCAACCCGGTCAACCAGGTTTTCTCCAGTGGATGGCTGCTAAAGCTGAGTGAGTATTCCTCGGACCAGTGGGATGTGAAGACGCAGTACGGTAGCATGATCAAACTAAGGTAATGGCTTTTGAATAAACATGACAAGACCAACCTGCGCACTTAGCTTTTGCTTAATATTGCACGCGGTCCCATAAGGCAAACTGTCTACATAGCTGATGACCGGAAACTTCGGAGCATTGAGCGGTTCCAATCGAGACAGCACGTCAACCATCGGCTTTGTCACCGACTCCATGAAGGGTGTATGAAACGCGGCATCCACAGGCACTCGCTTCACCCGGCGAATGTTAAATTGCACTGCATTGTGCTCGATGAATTCGATTGCCTATATCAAGGAAGCGGAAAACTATGTCGTTAGTTAGAATATCTGCACTGTTTGCAAGTGCATAGACACAACATTACTCTACCGAACGAGGCAAATAATACCGAGTTTGTCTGCAAACTCTTTCGGTGATATCGTCACTTCAGATATGGACAGTGACAGTGTAGTTTAAGGTAAATGATTCGATCGGTAACAGTCAAAAAAACCGAATTCAAGCAATGAACGTAGGTAAATTGGCACAAATTGGAGATGCATAAGATATACAGGAGATAACGTAAAGTAATCCGATGCGTCGTTGTATGCAATACTTGAAAACAAGTGGCTAAAGAAATAAACGGTATGGCTGTTGACAGTGTGAGGCGCGGTCAAATGGTGTGGTCGGATCAATATCTACAGCGGGATCGCATGGAACGGATTAAATTTTGGAGATTTTTAAAGCATTTACCGAATTAGTTTAAGCTAATTGATTAGATGAATCTTACAGGACGATTGAGAGGTTGTTAATAATAGTAAACGCATAAAACGTCATAATGTTCAAGTGAAGTAATACGGTCATTCATGAAACCCACCTGGGGAACCAGCTTTCGTGCAATGAAGTCACTCGAAAGTTTTCCTACATCCGGCCCGCGTGCCAGTGTGGCTCAAAAATGGTCATCTATTTAGAGCTTATCTGCAGTGATTTGGGGCGGCAACACACAATCTCCATTTGCTTCGGCTACGGTCTCAGTGATCGCATTGACCAAGGGTAACTTCAATATGCATCAAGATATACAGTGAGGTTGCACATCACAATCCAAACACCCAACCTGTACTTCAAATTGGCCCTCCATCTCTAGGGTGGTCTTTATGCGTATGTGATATGGACATTCAAGCCATCAAATCCTGTTACTACCTGCCAATGTATCAGTGGCAATGCATCTTGCTTAGGTACAGTTATTAGCTTGGAAGCTTCAATCACCCAACTTAGGAGACTGGCCCAGTCATGGTTGCCAATAAAATAGAAAAGAGAAGAAAGTAGAAGAACAACAGTAATGGCATATTCAACTAGAGAACAACAGATAACGCTCCTCTGAAGCACACTACTCAGCTCTGGACTAGGCTATAAAGTTTGGTCATTTACACTCACTGCTTGCAACGGTATGACCTGAACCACAAGCAAAATTGCTCGCTGATTCGAGATGATGCGACTATATAGTGCGGTACACCAGCAAACGCTTTCTGCATGTCTAGAAACATCAGTACTGATGATTTCCTGCAGTCTAAGAGGAGAGTGAGATAGTTGAGGGGGGTAGTGGTATGCCCCACATTAGCACTCATTCAAGAATGCACGTTGTTAGTTATTGAAAAAGCCACGTGTCTGTAGAAAAGCTATCACTTTTGTGGCAATTGGCCGCTCCATTATCCGACCAATTATGGAAAGTTTGCTAGTTGACCGACAAATCCAAATGTCTGGCTGTTTGGCCTGTAACTGCTGACGTTGCGCCTGGGTCCGGCTTTGTGAAGTGGTACGACCTCGGCCGTTCGCCACTGTGTAGGCATTTTACCGACCTTCATTGAAACATGAAATATAATGACCATAAGAAAATGAGTATCTGGCCCTTTAGTGTTAGCGCGTTTGAAGGAAGAACATCAGGGCTTTAATAGACAAAATGTTTTTTGGGTCCTAATTACGTTTTTATATCTCGGAGTGCAAAATCTACTTAAGGGTTGCTCGGAGGTTAAAGTGAGCAACTCAAGAGAAGGGGAATACCTGGCTCTGATGACGGATAAACATTAACGACTCATTCACAGCCCCGATACTGGAGATTGGGTCTTGATCGACAGTTATTGGGAGGCATGAAAAAAGCCGTTTCATTCGTCTTAAGGTTTCGGACCTATGTGAGATCATCCGCCCTCTGTACTTTGTTGCTACCAAAAAGTTCATGTCTTTTCTCTGACCCCAGCCCAGAGAAGAAGGGCATATTACTTTGCTACGATTTTGCTGCTGTAGTGATACAGTTGTAACTCATTCGTCCGTCTGTTAGTTTCGCAAATAAAATCAAGTTTTCTGGAGAGTTTAGGTCGAAGATAGTCCGCGCAAGTTCAATGTATAGCGCAACTACGCATAAGCGGTGTAACTATATCAGGAGAGCTTTTGATGTTAGTGAGTAGCAGATGGTTTGTTTTGATTTTGAAAAAATGCACCGCAGATAGACTCAGGCAGACAGCCACCAAACAAACAAGAAAGTGCTAAGCGGCTGGTTCATCCTATTAGGACTGGTCAGTAGCGTGTACCCACTGAATCCTGCCAAAATCGAACCCATGACATCACTTATACGAGCCAGCGACTTAGGTCAATGAGCCATTGATGTCACCCACAATCAGTGAGCCTTACCTGTTTGTCAAACTCACTGCATCTCACTTGCCCTACCGCTATTGCCCGAAAACATCCGGACACACCGGTCAAGATGCGGCTGGTGCAGTCGTTGGTTGCTAAAATTCAAAAGAGTAACAGTAGGTTTCCATTCCGTTTGGCAACAAAAACTAAGATCGGTGTTCGTCGCAGCGCTAGTTGTCATGGCCGACTGCGCCATAACGCGCTAGCTAGCAATATCACCAGTTCAGGATTTGTTTTGGCCTAACGGAATATAAATGCGCAGGCACGACATCTGTGCTCCTTAGAAGCTTAGTTTGGTGGTGAGTTTGGGATTAACTCTTCACACAGACAATGACCAGCGTTTATTGAAACTGTGTGCTGAGCATCGATTGTATCCTATCAACATACACTTCATGCATATTTGGTGCCGAAGTGCCATTTGGTGACCCCATATAGCTGGACAGTCATGGACCCGAATTAGCAACATCACCATATGCAACATGTGGCATAGAGCCATCCTGCACTGTGTCTCATCCAAGGAGACCTAGATCGACTGTTTATGCCAAATGTTCAACAACTTTACCATATCAAAAGGTTTCCTTGGTTGAAAAATGAGAAACTCTTTCAACCCGACAGTCAGACAAACCTAACCGTATGCATTAGGCACCAAACCTTCATTTAGTTGCTTGGAAGATACACAACCTTTTCGCCACTACGCAAGACGCAGCCCGGCCAATCGCCATTGCGTTAAACCGGGGATATTAAAATTGTCGAGGAACCCATTTGAACTCAGAAAGAAAAGGTCCTATTTATGTGAGCGGAAACGCAGCCCAGCAGGTTGACATTGAAGCCTAGTAGACCCAAAGAGCCCAGAAGGTAGGAGAAGCAGGGGTGGCTTGCCATTGCCGCGGAGTCACCCAGCAGATCTGTATCACTAGGCGTATGAACTAATGTATCAGCGAGATGATGTGAAACAGCACCCTCGTCTGACTTGCTGGGTGAGGCCCCTTCATGAGCAATCCATTTGTGCTTCTGATCCCATAAATCCTCAGTCTTATGTAGTGCAGACCAAAACATTATCGGTTAGTTTAGAGATTCTTTCAAAGGATAAGGATCGAAACGTAACCAAAACCGTCAAATGTTTTCATGCTCCTGATTAGAGTTCTCCCTCACCCTCATTATTGAAGGATACTGATGCAAAATACTGCAAAACTTTGGTCCACCTGTTCTAACGGTAGCTAAAAAAGGAGACCATCATAACAAACAGGCTAAGTCCATTCAAAGCTGAATTTAGGGAGCATGCTGTGTGGTCGGGTTTCGACTCGCAACCTCTATTGAGACCTGGTGTGCCAGGGTTGGGAAGAGCAACACCCAAATATATCCATTCAGAGATCGGGATGACCGAGGTTTACCTCAAAGTGAGCCTAGGTCTCAATAGAGGTTGCGAGTCGCAACCCAACCACACAGCGTGCTCCCTAAATTCAGCTTTGAATTACTTTCCGCTGTGCCAAGCGTTGCTCGCGGATCTCAGTAGCATAGTGTTCAGGGCATCAGCCATGAAGTACTAAGCTCTGAGTTCCACCCTAGCTCAGGCTATCTCCACCTGATGAGTCTAAACCAAGACGAAACCGCGGTAGTGGTGTGCCAGGGTTGGGAAGAGCAACACCCAAATACATCCATCCAGGCTAACTCCATCGTCGTAGATATCTATAAGTAGGGCATTCTCACCGAAGTTATTAATCCCAGCAGTGTCGGATAAACCTCGACAGAGTAACGAGTTGTTTTAATTCGCGTTCGTCTGCTACCTTTGGAATGTGCATCCGAGACGAGAGAGTAGCTGACGGTGGAACATTCCCAAGCTGCGATCACGTAGTGCAGCGGGATAACCTTGACAGATATACGAGTAGGTAACTCAGAATCAGCTTCGTTTCAACGCTATCAAGTGTAAAAGTCGAGTACGCGTCGCCAAAGCACAACTTGGTATGGAATGGCGGATCAATGTTTACAGCGGGCTTCTCCTGATACCGCCTGAGAGCGATGACAGAAGATGATCTTGGTTGGTCAGGCCAAGCTGAGTAGCGTCCATAAAAGGCAACCTACACTTTGGCTTATTGCGGAGAGACTTCGGGCGACTTGACCTTACCAACTTTTCTTAGCTGTTTAGTGCCTACATTCGGATCCATTTGTTATACGCCATGCATGACTCGCCACACTGGCACTAGCACATTACCGCAATTATCATGCCACATCGGAGGGTGACTAAGAATGTAAAGGGTCTATTACATCATCATTACCAAGTGAGACTGAGAAACTTTTGCGTCTTCAGCGGGCTGTATGGAAGCCTACGTGGCGATTTGCTAATGCTATATCAGACTGATGAATCCCAACCATGCTTGTCGTGATCTGCTGAAACTGAGCCACTATACCTCTCTGTGAGGTCACCAACTAAAGCTGGCTATACAGTATAACCGGACGAAATGCCGCTGAAATTTCTTTTGAATTTATTTGTGCCAACCACGGAACGCTCTCCCAACGTACGTCGTTTTCTGTTCCACCCTAAGAGCATTCAGAAGATATGTCTATGATACGCATTTACATTACGCTATATAAACTGTTATGTCCGGGCGTCAACCTAACACTACCAATC